ATAGATCTTGTCTTATGTAATATTCTTATTTTTTGATCTCGTTGAGTGGTGGAATTTTGAATTTGGCTTCAATTTGGCTATTTCTATTAAGATCGCTCGTTGAACTAAAGCCATCTAGTGTGACGTGAAAAAATAATAATGCTAGCAGACTCATGCTCTAATTTCAGAATAAGTGTATGTTGATCATAAATTGGACAATGATAAGGCAAATGTTAAATCTCTAAGTGGTGATGAGATCTTGCATTCAACACTAGGAAAATAAAGTCTTGTTATTCTATCAATTTTACTGCTCAACCATTGTTGATTCCACTTTTGCATAGCGTTGTCATGAATATAATTTTTAAGGCTGCTATGTGAGAGAGGGATGTGAGTGTAGTCCAAATCAATGTCCTTTGCAGCTGACTTAGCCTCAAAGTCGGCTTTTTCATTTCTAAATATGCCAGTATGGCCAGGAAAATATATAAAAGTTATCTTGTTTACAAGATTTTTAATATGGTGCTGGATATATGCAATTTTATTGCTATTGCAATTGGGATTTAATAGATCTTTTAGAATAGACTGTAAATGTTGATAGACAGAGTTTTGTTTGGTTGTGAAGTGGCCCACTGAACAGCTTGGTAGTCAGCATCATCTTCAGTTTGATAGATGGAGGTATGTGGGAAGTATCTATACCTTCTAACATATTTTGGGCAAAATATGTCAGTTTGGAGGAAGATACAGATACTTGAACCAACATGAAGGGAGCTTTTAGACCCATCTATGTAGCTGTTAATGTCTGCATGGTTATCCATGGAGGAAGCAGATGACACCAAATGTACCCTGTGTACATTAAATGCAATCACCACCCTGTCATGTTTAATAGGGTACTTGCAATGTAGTAGCATATGAACAGCCGTAGATAGGCGTAGAAACCGTTGTTGAGCCTTGATGTTTGTAGTTCTGATGTAGTAGTTTAGAACCTTTTCTTACAATACATAGTGCAAAAGAAGGAGCTCTTCTAGTATCAGAGGCATTAGTAGAAATAGTTCTGAGGCACTTCGAAATTCTGATGGCAAACTGTCTTTGAAGAGAAATTAATTTACTTGCTACTGAATTTTTACTAATTACATGACCCCAGCTAGAGGTCGTGTAAAGTAGCATTGGTTGTATTGCCCCATTATATAGAGTTTTACAAGCTTTATTATTTAGTCCCCAGGTGCACCTAGCTCATTTTACATGTAGTTTATTTTATTGCCCTTATCCAAGATGTAATTAATATGGCAACGGAATATGGTTTCTATTCTCTTTTTTTTATATTTTGTATGACATTTCTGTTTACATGTGCACTAGTTTGTCGATCTGTCAAAGTTTTTTGCATTCTTTTGTGAAAATTAAAATTAATCTAAAAATGAATGTTATGATGATGATGATGATGATAAAATAATAATAAAATTGTTAATAATTAAAAAATAAAGTTCTTAAAATAAATTGTTCATTTGAATTTATTAAATTTTTATATTTTTAAATTTGTTCACAAAGTCTTTTATAAATAATAGTACATATTAATTAACTAATTAATAATTATATATTTTGAACCTAACGTTTTTAGGGTTTCAGAAAAAAATTTTTTTTTGTTAAAATTTTTCTATGAAATCATGCCTAAATATTACGTAAGATGCGGAAGGGGATGGGGGATCAGAGAAAATATTACAGTTTTGTACACGGGTGGGTGGGGGTCTAGAATGGCCAAAATCACTTTTATGTAATTTATGGATGGCCCCTAAGGTTATCATTATTACAAGCTTATCATTAGACACTGCTTTTCATTTAGGCTTGTTATGTGGATGTTTTTTATTCCATCTATTTTCATTCCATCAAATTCTGCTTTTGTTGGTAAAATTTGTAGTAAATTTGTAGTTTTACTCCTCTCTTATATGGGGCTGTCCATAAATGATGCCCACACTGGGAGGGAGGGGGTTACGGCAAGTCAAAGGCAGGGGAGCAGAGGAGTTGAGTGTCAGTAGACATTCATTTATTTCATTAAATTTTATATAGTTTATGCGTTTTATTATATTTATTTCAAAATTTCTTGTATGTTTCATTTCTACTTATGGTATCTATCAATCGTAAAGTGATAAAGATTTTAATGGGAATCAAGTTTTGCTGGACATCTGAAGAAGGTAGAGGGCTACATTATCCTTAGAAAAACTGGGATGAGAGGGGGAAGAGGAATAAAAATTTAGAGAAAAATGCAGATGTAATTTACGAACAGCCCTTAGAATGCAAAAAATGGACTTAAAATACTTTCATAATCAATAATTATACAATATCATTTATTGACGAATTTTCAATTGATCAAAGCATATGGTTATTTTAAAATACTAAGTGTGAATTGTTTTATAAATAAAAAGTTCACAGTAAATTATGGGATTNTGAACTTTTCATTGAAACAGTCATTTAATCTTATGTTCTAGTTTTTTCTTTTAATTAATGTGTAAAAACACATTGATAAAAATTTACAATTCTTAGAGACCAAAAGACATTTGTGTTATTTTTTTTCATTTGTAATTATAAAAGAATAAACTTTGTTGGTGTGTTTATAATAATAATAATTCTTTTATAATGCAAACTCCCATTTTCAAATATAACTCAATTAGAAAATTCAGAAAGTATAAGAGAGAAAATATTGGAGTATTTAAGAACTTGGTAATGCCATTGTGTTTAAATCTAATTTTTAATATTTGCTAATGTATGAGTTATTTCGATGATTGATAATGCTTATTCTTGCTTTAAATCAATAGTATGCATTAATATTTCAGAAGTGTTTAAGTAAAATACCAAAACTGCTTTGAGTGAAAACAATTAAAACTCAAAGAAAAAATTTTCCTGATATTTTTGGGCTTCTAATTTGAATTTTCTGTTTGTTTTTGTTTGGTTTTCATTCATTTTCCCTGACGGATGACCCAAGACAACTGAAACTACTAGAAAAGTTTTATGTTTCAGCTATTTTGACTCTGATAGTAGTTATTTTTGTCTTGTTTTAAATCTTTTACCGAAGCTAAAAAAAATTCATCATGTTCTATCACATTTGGTGGCTTTTTATTTAATAAAACATATATTTTACAATATTTATATTAAGAAAAATATTATAAATACAATAATCAAAGGTTCTTCTTGAAATGAAATAAAACTATGCATATACTGTATACAGTCGACCCCCCCCCATTACACGGTAGATACATTCTGTTCTTTATGAAATTGATGTTCTACAAGTCCTTAAATACATGAGCCAATCACAGCCTAGCACATATGCAGTTTACGGACTATGGCTTTTTGAAACGTTTTCTTCCGTAAAATTAATCGAATCTAGACTAATTTGACTCAACATTTCCAAAATACATATAATTTTTGGGAATAATCTATATAAACTATGCTATAAACAAAAAATTGTAGGATTACTTACTGAGTGTGCACCATTCGATGACGTTGCTTAAGCTTGTTTTCGTTGTGGAGCGGCGCATCGAATGGCGCTTGTGTGTTTCCTGACAAATTATTTTTCTGCGAATACTTTGCTGAACTTTGGAGACATCATTAATATAAATATAATTTTTATGGACGTTTAATAATAAATGGTTTTTAGTAGGTCTGCTGCTCGTTTAAACTCAACGGTTTGTGCAATATCCGCTATTGGTCTAGATTCGACCAATCCTGTTGCGACACGAGTCAGAGATGATGTTTTACTGAATTATACGAGTCTCTTTTAACATGTTTATATGAATACAGTTTAAAATAAAAAACCGTTTAACTATCCAGCGTAATTCTTTAATAACATAAAAACGTTTTCAAACTCATTGAGCGTTCATCATCAGTTATTTCTCTAATTCGAAACGGGAAATTCGAAAACTTGCGCAATCGAATTTCAAATAAATGGTTACGTAAAAAATTAAAAGGTAACATGTTATAAACGAAAATGATNTTAGACACTGCTTTTCATTTAGGCTTGTTATGTGGATGTTTTTTATTCCATCTATTTTCATTCCATCAAATTCTGCTTTTGTTGGTAAAATTTGTAGTAAATTTGTAGTTTTACTCCTCTCTTATATGGGGCTGTCCATAAATGATGCCCACACTGGGAGGGAGGGGGTTACGGCAAGTCAAAGGCAGGGGAGCAGAGGAGTTGAGTGTCAGTAGACATTCATTTATTTCATTAAATTTTATATAGTTTATGCGTTTTATTATATTTATTTCAAAATTTCTTGTATGTTTCATTTCTACTTATGGTATCTATCAATCGTAAAGTGATAAAGATTTTAATGGGAATCAAGTTTTGCTGGACATCTGAAGAAGGTAGAGGGCTACATTATCCTTAGAAAAACTGGGATGAGAGGGGGAAGAGGAATAAAAATTTAGAGAAAAATGCAGATGTAATTTACGAACAGCCCTTAGAATGCAAAAAATGGACTTAAAATACTTTCATAATCAATAATTATACAATATCATTTATTGACGAATTTTCAATTGATCAAAGCATATGGTTATTTTAAAATACTAAGTGTGAATTGTTTTATAAATAAAAAGTTCACAGTAAATTATGGGATTTCTCAATTTTTTTTCCAAAAATGGACTTACACCATTTTCAGTACAGAATAAACAGTCCATATATAAAGTGTTAAGAAATATATATTGTACAAATCTAATGTGTTGTATTCATCATAAATATTTAACTGTAATAAAAATGGATTATCTCTTCTGTATTATATTCATGCTCTTCATATTATCATAAATAGAGTAATCAATATAATTATTATAAGATGGATTATTTATTTATTGATTATATACGTGTAGTTAAATTGACAATTTTATTATATTTTTATCAACTTTATTTTTGTTAAATTGATCATTTAAGGATATTGTGTGTGTGTATGTATACACACACATACATACAAATAATTCTTATAATAAGTTGCTCATAAATGTTAAATATGGTGCATTATAATTAAAAATTTTTTTATTTATTTCAGCATTCAGAAAACAGTGATTTAGAAGGAGTAAGTATAAGTTTTTTTTTTATAAATTGAGTCTATATATTTCTTAGTGTTGAAAATTTAAAGAGCAATTGTATTCAGAGATTATTATTTTGTTTATCATTTCTATATAACCAAAATATATGAAATTACTGTTGAAAAATAAATAAGAAAAAAATATCATATTTTGTTTCTTTTAATGGAAAGATTTCTTGATCACATGTTGGTTGTTAATCTGTTAATTTTCTCTAATTAAAATTGAGGATATAAATATTTTTCATATTTTTACTCTTTCTTTAAAAAATTTAATTGGTTGTTTTTTATGGTTAATATAGCATGGCTTATTTTCTTTATTGGATATCAGCATGTATCATTTGTATAAAGAATAAATAAGTAAATAAATTATTATTACTATTAATTAATATTGAATTTAATGGATTTAAAAACTTTTTATTTGTAGTCATTTAAATCATCAAAACGTGCTAGTAGTGCTCCTCCACCAAGACGTAGTCTACCTCCTTTAGCTAAATCTTCACTAAGTGCTTCTAGTAAGTGTAATTAAATTTTATGTAGAATCAATTGTTTTTAGATGTTTGAATTATTATTATTATTATTTTTATTAATTACTTTTTAAAATTTTAGCTGCAGCTGGTGCTGCTGATGAAGAAATGTTTATAAGGTGTTTTGAAGATGTGCCAAGAATACAAGTATGTGTTACTCATAATGACTTATAAGTTATTAATTTTTCAAAATATAACAAAAGGAGAAGTCATATTCTATAATATTTGAAAATTATTGGTTTATTTAAAGTATAGAAAGTTCTTAAAGATTTATAATGTCTGATTTTGGAAAGTTGGTTATAACATTTTTATTTTATTGTATGGAAAATCATAAAATCTTATAATCAGACTTTAGTTTAAACACTTTATAATCAGTTTTTATAACTGTTTATAATCAGACTTAATAACAATGATTAATCAGTGTAAACAACAAAATTTAGATGACAGTTATTTTTCTTTTTTAGTGAGCAGTTTAGTGGATTTATATTGAAGTTGTAGCTTGATGTTTTTTCATGTATTTTCTCTTAATTGTAAACAAAATAAGTTCTTTTCACTCACATTGTTATAAGGGATTGATTACAATATTAGTTCTATCTGTTTTTTCATCGATTATTATACTTCTTATTGAACTTTTCATTGAAACAGTCATTTAATCTTATGTTCTAGTTTTTTCTTTTAATTAATGTGTAAAAACACATTGATAAAAATTTACAATTCTTAGAGACCAAAAGACATTTGTGTTATTTTTTTTCATTTGTAATTATAAAAGAATAAACTTTGTTGGTGTGTTTATAATAATAATAATTCTTTTATAATGCAAACTCCCATTTTCAAATATAACTCAATTAGAAAATTCTGAAAGTATAAGAGAGAAAATATTGGAGTATTTAAGAACTTGGTAATGCCATTGTGTTTAAATCTAATTTTTAATATTTGCTAATGTATGAGTTATTTCGATGATTGATAATGCTTATTCTTGCTTTAAATCAATAGTATGCATTAATATTTCAGAAGTGTTTAAGTAAAATACCAAAACTGCTTTGAGTGAAAACAATTAAAACTCAAAGAAAAAATTTTCCTGATATTTTTGGGCTTCTAATTTGAATTTTCTGTTTGTTTTTGTTTGGTTTTCATTCATTTTCCCTGACGGATGACCCAAGACAACTGAAAGTACTAGAAAAGTTTTATGTTTCAGCTATTTTGACTCTGATAGTAGTTATTTTTGTCTTGTTTTAAATCTTTTATCAAAGCTAAAAAAAATTCATCATGTTCTATCACATTTGGTGTCTTTTTATTTAATAAAACATATATATATATATATATTTTGCATTTTACAATATTTATATTAAGAAAAATGTTATAAATACAATAATCAAAGATTCTTCTTGAAATGAAATAAAACTATTCATATACTGTATACAGTCGACCCCCCCATAACACGGTAGATACATTCTGTTCTTTATGAAATTGATGTTCTACAAGTCCTTAAATACATGAGCCAATCACAGCCCAGCACATGTGCAGTTTACGGACTATGGCTTTTTGAAAGGTTTTCTTCCATAAAATTAATCGAATCTAGACTAATTTGACTCAACATTTCCAAAATACATATACAGTAGATCCCCCTATAAGACGGTAGATACGTTCCGTTCTTTATGAATCAATTTTGTAGGAATCATAGTTTACGGACTACGGCTGTTTGAAAGGTTTTCTTTCATAAAATTAATCGATTCTAGACTAATTCGACTCAACATTTCCAAAATACGTATATTTTTTTGAAAATAATCCGTATAAACTACGTTATAAACAAAAAATTGTAGGATTGCTTACCGAGTGTGTACCGTTCGACTACGCCCGTTGCTAAAGCTTGGTTTCGTCGCGGAACAGCGCATCAAACCGCGGCCGCGATTTCTGATATTATTTTTCTGCGAAAACTTCGTTGACCTTTGGAGACATCCTTAATATAAATAATTTTTATGGCCGTTAAATAAGAAATGTTTCTTTCACAAGAAATGTATAAAATTACAGTACTGGACAGACGATAGGTCGCCTAACTCGCCGTAGCGTGACGCTAGACGGCGAAAAATATATATTTAATTATAATAAAGTTACAATAAATTAAGTTAATATATAATTATATATACAGTACCTAATTTATATATAATTAATATATAATTATATGTACAGTACCTAATTTATATATAATTATATGAACAGACGATACTAAACTCAATTTATCCGCCTAAACGTCCGTAGCGTGGCGCTACGGACGGCGGGAAAGTAGTTCGGCTGCCCGATGACGTTTTACGTATTATAGGAGTTATTTTTATTGTTGTTTACGGATACTGCCACAATTTTTATAGGAATCATAACTATAGGAAACGGTTTTATAGGGGGATCTACTGTAATTTTTTGGGAATAATCTATATAAACTATGTTATAAACAAAAAATTGTAAGATTACTTACTGAGCATGCACCATTCGATGACGCCATTGCTTAAGCTTGTTTTCGTTGTGGAGCGGCGCATCGAATGGCACGCGTGTGCTTCCTGACAAATTATTTTTCTACGAATACTTTGCTGAACTTTGGAGACATCATTAATATAAATTTAATTTTTATGGACGTTTAATAATAAATGGTTTTTAATAGGTCCGCTGCTCTTTAAACTCAACAGTTTGTGCAATATCCACTATTGTTCTGGATTCGACCAATCCTGTTGCGACACGAGTTGGTGATGACATTTTACTGAATTATACGAGTCTCTTTTAGCGTGTTTATATGAATACAGCCACAATTTTTTCATCGTGGTATAGGAATCTGAACTATATGAACTCGTTTTATAGGGGGAGCTACTGTATATAATGCTGAAATGGTATTTAACATTATTATATTAAAAATGTTAAATACTATTCCAGTATGTTTTAACAACAAGAGAATATTTGACTACGTATTTATAAAAACTGTACAGCTATATAATCCTATTTGATAAAATATATTTTAACTTAACAAATAATTTGACACCTAAACACTAATTCCAGCAATAAAATGAACAAATAAACTTTAATGCTCGAACATTTTAAAGTTTATTTGTTCATTTTATTGCTGGAATTAGCCTTTAGGCATCAAATTGTTTGTTTAGTACAGTAGACCCCCCTATAATGCTTAGATACATTCCACTTTATAAGAATTTTATGTTGTAGGAATCCTTAAATACATGAGCCAATCACAGCCCAACACGTGTGAAGTTTACGGACTAAGGCTGTTTGTAAGGCTTTCTTCTATAAAATTAACCGATTCTAGAATAATTCGACTCATCATTTCCAAAACACGTATAATTTTTTGGGAATAATCTGTATAAACTATGCTATAAACAAAAAATTGTAGGATTACTTACCAAGTGTGCACTGTTCGACTACGCCGTTGCTTACGCTTGTTTTCGTCATGGAGCAGCGCACCAAACGGTGGGCGCATTTTCTGATAAGTTATTTTTCTGCGAAAACTTCGTTGAACTTTGGAGACATCATTAATATAAATAATTTTTATGGCCGTTGAATAAGAAATGTTTCTTTCACAAGAATTAATATATAATTATATGTACAGTACCTAATTTATATATAATACTGTACAGACGATAGCAAACTCAATTTACCCGCATAAACTTTCCGTAGTGTGGTGCTGGACGGCGGAAAGTAGTTCGGCTGCTCATCCACTATTGGTCCAGATTCGACCAATCTTGTCGCGACACAAGTCGGCGACGATGTTTTAGTGTCCCTTTATACAAATACTGCTGCATTTTTTTCGCTACGTTATAGGAATTTCTGTTATAGGAACCCACGTTATAAGGGGATCGACTGTATATTGTTTCAGTTTATATGTACCAGTATTTTATATTTTAACTTTATATGTAATTTGAAACGTGTATTCAGAGTTAAAATGCACTTAATAGAGAGTATATTATCCTTCATAGTTTGTGGCTTTAGAATCTTAACCAAGCTAATATATGGATCTTAGTGTTTTGGATAGATTATAATTTAATTTATATAATAATTAAACAAATTAGCTTTAAGAGTTTATCTAAATTATTAATTATATTTATGTTTTTATAGTTATATTCTGCAAAAGAAGTTGAACATGAAATTTCAAAAATAAGAGACACATTAGGTGATCCTAGTAATCATTGGGAAAAAAGATTAGATGCTGTGAGTATACATATCTTTATGTAAAGCTTTATTTGTATTTTGAGAAATACAAATTAACAATATGATTATTTTAGTTTTAAAATATTTTATTTACATTAAATAAAATGTTTTAAATAATTATTGTAAATTGAAAAAAATTATAAGAATTTAATAAAAATATCCATTTATGCTAAGATAATNTGGGATTACATCGATAAACTATTTGTAAGTTCTTATTTTTGGAAACCCTCTTGACAATCGGTTTAAGGAGGGGTATATAATCGAGGACCACTTTTTCTTTTTGGTGGTTTTGCTTTTGCCTACTTGCCAGATTATTATCCTTCTTAATGAGAGCCTCTATTCTTTTCCTCCCGTAGCCATGCTGTATGGCAGTTCTTCGTATATATTGTAATTCCTTAACTGTATCGCAAACGTTTGTGCAATGCGTGTGCGCTCTTCTTATCCAAGATCGAAATACCGCCATTTTAATATGCTCTGGATCTGCCGAATTCTTAGGGATAATGATGGGGATAGATGTCGGTTTACGATAAATGTTGGTTTGGACTTCCCCTTTTTCGCATGTTATAGTCAGATCCAAGAAATTAACGCTACTACTGTCTTGTTGCTCCAATTCCAAAGTTAAACCATATGGGTTACTGTTTATCAGATCCATAAAAATGCTTGATATTGCAATTATCCTTCCACAAGATAAATACATCATTGACATATCTTGCATATACCAATATATCTTGTTGTAATGAAGGGAGGATATTGTTCTCTAGATTAAGGAGTACCAACTCGCAGAGGACCAACGACATGGGGCTACCCATCGGTACTCCCCGCCCCTGTAGATATGTTTTATTTTTGAATTCAAAAAAGGAAGTGTGACAGATCAAATCCGCTAATTCTAAAATCTGTGTGTGGTATTTGATAGCATTATTAACATTAGTGAATAAAAAATCTCTTAGGGCACAAAAGCATGGAGGCAGTTTGATTGATGGGTATAACGCCTTATAGTCCAAAACTGTCATCCATTCCTCATTCATGAGCGCAACATTTTCTAATTTCAGGATCAAGTCCACCGAGATTTTTATCGAAAAAGGTGAAATCTGCATCTTTCTTTGTATGAATTTAACAAGTTGTTTTTCTATTCTGAAGGTTGGAGCATTACATTTTTCTACCACAGGGCATAACTGGGAACCAGGTTTATGGATTTTTCTGAAGGCAAAAATTCTTGGTGTCCTGGGAGCTTGTAAAGTAGCAGCTCTCATATCCAGATAATCGGCTAACGGAGTTAAGGTAAATTTTCTCACTCTTTGTTGTAAGGTTTCCAGGTAGTTACTTGGGGCAGGAAGAAATTTGGTGCTATCGATGTACTCATGCAGCTTTTCTCTATATGAGCTCCGTTTTATGAGTACAACACCTTTTGATTTATCCGCCTTTATGAGAACAATGTCGTTTTTTTGGAGCCATTCTTTCGTTTGTTTAATGTGCCTTTGGAATAGTAAAGCTGTTTTGTTAGAATACCTCTCCTTTTCGGCATATAATCTTGTTTTCCATCTGCAGTAATCCTGCTCAGTCAAGCTCATATTCTTTATGAGTATCTCAAAGTTCGGTATGAGGCTTTCTGGACGCAACGGTGGTGTCAGTGCAAAGGAAGGGCCGTATTCCAAGGCGTTTATCAAGCATTGGGGAGGAACGATGTTATACCAAGTTGTTAAAAATGCTTCTTTTTTCACTCGTGGTTTAATATTCTGGCATCTAAACAGCCATTTTGGCTTTTTAATGTATGTCCGTTTCAATCTCTTTTCCAAAGAATGTTCTAAAGCGATTAGTCTACTGTTAACCTCTTCCAGAATAGCTTGGTCTTCTTCATATAGATCATTTTCTAATTTTATGATACCACGCAGTATTCCATAAAAACATCGTCTTGCAATTCTAATGGCCTTGTTGAGGCACAAAAACTTCAACTTAGGTAACAAACTGCGACATTCTTTAATAACATAATGTTTTCAAACGCATTGAGCATTTGAAAACATTTTTATGTTATTAAAGAATTTTGCTGGATATTTAAATGGTTTTTTATTTTTAGGTCACTTTGATGGCATGTCTTTTGGTCTGAAGGGAGATACAGCTAAATAGATGGCGGTCAGAGTTGCCTGTCTGGCTGCAAATGGCACAAAGAGGGGTACTTTTATTGGTAAATCTGTGCAGGTAGTTTGAGAACTTTCCATGGTCTGTAAGGAACTGTGTGAGGTGATAGTCAGGAGTCACCCATTTGTATTTGTCGTGGTAGTCGATGATGTTAGGGATGTACTTGTAGGTGGTTTCGTTGTGCTGTTGAGACCAGGATGATTGCCAGCGATTTAAGACATCCTTGTACATAATTTTTCTCACTCTGTTGTAACTGATTTTGTTGTAGATGATGGTAAGGGAGTCGTCAACAGCCGCAGCCTTTGCCAGCTGATCAGCCCGCTCATTTCCCTCAGTGTCCTGGTGCCCATGGGTCCAAGTAATATGGTATGAGTTGCTGGAATGAAGGATTAAGTGCCGGATGGATGTGGCTATTGGATGGAGTTAGTTTGATGGCATGGGGGAGTCAGTAATGATGTGAATGCTGTTTTTGGTGTACCTTTGCTCAGTCTAGTTAATGGCCATATTTATGGCTAGCATTTCAGATTGGAAGGCAGTATAGGTGTTATGAAGTCTGTTCTGTTGTGAGTAGATTTCCGTGTTGTTGCAGTGGGCAATAAAAGCACAGCCTATTGAGTTGTTGTGGCCAGAACCATCCGTATAGATGACAAGGTCAGGATTGAGGGGCGGGCTGTTACCAATAAAGTTATTGATATGGGGAGGTATGGCCTGGGTGTAAGGACTCAGATGTTCATAATTACAGGCCTGGATGTTGCAAGTTGGAGTGGAGATGTCATTCCCATTCTTGAGGTTCCAGATATTTCGTTCCATCCTCATGATTTCAGTGATGGAGGGTTTGCGAGAGATCATCTGCAAACTGCTGTTTGGAGCAGTACGATATGCTCTTGTTATTAAAAGGAGTGCTTTTCGTTGGGAGGAGATCAACTTTCTATGTAGATGTACCTTCTGAGCGGCGTCTCCCCAGCAAAGACAGC